CCAGGCGGAGAGTGGAGCGGCTTGGGGAAATTGCTCCCCAAGCCACCAGACAGAGAGCAGAGAGAAAGAGCTTGGCAGAGTGGGAGGCATGGGATGGAGACAGAGCAGGAAGTGAAACCAAGATCACGGGGAGCCCCAGGAATTCTGGGAATAGTTTTCGTGGCAGACGGACCTTCTAGACCAGGGGTCCTCAAATTTTTAAACAGGGGGCCAGTTCACTGTCCCTCAGACCGTTGGAGGGCCGGACTATAGTTTAAAAAAAAAACTATGAACAAATTCCTATGCACACTGCACATATCTTATTTTGAAGTAAAAAAACAAAACGGGAACAAATACAATATTTGTATTTGCATGTGGCCCGCAGGCCGTAGTTTGAGGACCCCTGTTCTAGACATTAGAGCAAAGTGAGCCTGGAGCAAGTTACTGTTGCGGTGGGGGAATGAAGGGAAAGCAAAGGTGAGAGACATAAGTAAAATCAGAGTGTCTAGGAAAAATTAAAGGGAAGATATCCTAAAACTTCCAGGAAATCTCTACCAATGAAGCAAAGAAAAAAAAAAAGCCTCTATTATTCTGTGAGCAACAAACCAAACTGAGTTGGGGTCTCAGACAATTCGCTCATATGATTGCAAAGACAGACAGAAACTCCCGGATTGGAGAGGGCTCCCCTGAAGGCTCCCAGATTGGTGAGGGTGCAGGTCAGGCTGAGGAACCCCCAAACCCCACAGTGCACGAATGTCGTGCACCGGGCCTCTAGTTTAGGTAAAATTGACAAATAAAACTTTCCATTATTTTTGTATTATTTTTATGTAGAAAGCAAATGAAACCACCCAAGAGGAAGAATAACACCAAAAATCAATCATTTCCACAGAGCTGACCTTACAAAACACCAGAATATTTAAAATATATTCAATGTATTGAATAGATTGCCTGTGTATACAGTTATAGAAAGACTAGGAAAAATAGAGTGGAATTAGAGGTGATGCCTCTCTGTCTTTTCTGCCTACCTGCATATTCTAAATTCTCTACAATGAACATGTATTATTACTTCCTAAGTTTTTTCAACATAATTTCAAAGGGCAAAAATATTTGCTACGGACCAAAGAGTCTAAGTGGGCAAGAAAACAAAATAAACGGTCTACTTTAAAATATGCTTTTATAGCCGAAACCCGTTTGGCTCAGTGGATAGAGCGTCGGCCTGCGGACTGAAGGGTCCCAGGTTCGATTCCGGTCAAGGGCATGTACCTTGGTTGCGGGCACATCCCAGTGGGGGGTGTGCAAGAGGCAGCTGATCGATGTTCTCTCTCATCGATGTTCTACTCTCTCTCCTCTCTCTCCCTCCTCTCTGTAAAAAATCAATAAAATATATAAAAAAAAAAAGCTA